GCCCCCTCCCCCGCCTCCACCACCACCCCCTCCGAGTGGAGGAGGACCTCCGCCCCCGCCCCCACCACCTCCTGCTGGCGGGCCGGGACTGCCTACCCCTCCGCCAGAAAGAGGCGCGCTGTTGGCATCCATCCAAGGCGCAGGCGTACATGTGCTCAAGAAACGCGGCGATGCTCCTGCTCCACGCGCTACACCCCCGCCCGAAGAGCCAGCTGCTGCGGCAGGCGGAGGCGGAGACCTTACATCTGCATTGGCTGCGGCCCTGTTGGAGCGCAACAAGCGGATGGGCGACAGCGATGACGAAGACGAGGATGAGGACGAGTGGGATTAGGATGGATTTTGACAATCGTCGATAGGTGGACCGCATTCTCTAGCACTTCTTTCACAGCCTACTGTGCATTATATTTCGTATCTATCTCTCCGCCGCCAAAGTCGTGCTCCGCGATGCTAAACACGGTCTACGGCGGTGAATGTGCAATGTCGCGCACGCCGGAGGGATATACATAGCGAGGAGCGGTGCCGCCCAGCAGTGCGATAAGAGCCAGAACCAGTGCGCCTGTACAGGCTGGCGATTGCCGAGATCGTTGCGGCCATCAGGAGGCCACAGTCAAAGCATTCGACGGTTCGCAAAGCACCGCCGTATCCCCCGCACCTTTTAACTCGTTCTCCACCCCCAGTCCTACCACTTTCTCTCCTTTCTACCCCAAACACACCATGGCCGACCAGCTGGTGAGTCGCCCTGAACGCGTGTTCGCCCGTGGAGTCGCTGACGCCGCCTCGTTGCGCGTTGATTAGTCTGAGGGTATGTAAAGCTGCTGCCGTGAGAGCCCTAAGTGCGGGTTTTGCTGACTTCTTTTGTCTCCGCCCTGCAGAGCAGATCTCTGGTACGCAGATCCTACACCGCTGCCTGCGCCTGAGCGCGACGATGCTCACTCGTTCTGCCCGCAGAGTTCAAGGAGGCGTTCTCGCTATTCGACAAGGGTGAGTCGCGCACGTTCATCAGCCATCATTCTTTCGCGACCACATCCCCCTTCCCTCGCAACCCTGTGCCCACCCTACGCCCCTGTGCGCTGTTCACTGAGGGAGCGATCGCTGACGACGGCCGCGCACACAGACGGCGATGGCACGATCACCACGAAGGAGCTCGGCACGGTGATGCGCTCGCTCGGGCAGAACCCGACGGAGGCGGAGCTGCAGGACATGATCAACGAGGTCGACGCGGACGGGAACGGGACGATCGACTTCCCCGAGTTCCTGACGATGATGGCGCGCAAGATGCGCGACACCGACAGCGAGGAGGAGATCAAGGAGGCGTTCAAGGTGTTCGACAAGGACGGGAACGGCTACATCTCCGCCGCGGAGCTGCGGCACGTCATGACCAACCTCGGTGCGTGCACTGTGTGGGCTGTATGTTTGGAGAGGTGTAGCATGCTAATGCGTGTGCGATGCAGGCGAGAAGCTCTCGGACTCCGAGGTCGACGAGATGATTCGCGAAGCCGACGTCGATGGCGATGGCCAGATCAACTACGAGGGTGAGTCGCTTATCGTCGTGCAAGCCCAAGTGTCGTTGCTGATTGTTACTGTTTCCAGAGTTCGTCAAGGTATGTCGCGTTGAAACAGCCGACGCGACGGCCGAGCTCACGCCTTTGTTCACAGATGATGCTTTCGAAGTAAAGTACTGGGCCGTATGTGCCATTCTACCGCGTCGTTTTCGTCTGTACGGTATCTATTCCCAGCCCATGGTATGCCTGCGTATACGAGTAGTGAAGTATTCCAACAATGCAAAGTCCATTAGTTCGCCTGTATGTCCCGCCGCTGTGAGCCCTTTCCGACGGCCCGCCCCAGACTGCCCCCGGTTGTCCAAATACGGAACGGACGATCGCGCAAGATCCGCAGTGGCTACGTCATGACAAAGCCCCCTGTGCGTCCACCGCCTTTGCTCCATCTAATCGTCATCTCCCACTGCCCGAACGGCGGCTCCTTGGCGGCTCCGGGACATACATATACGAGTACTGCGGGGCGACATATCCCTCACTTCTACCTCTGCACCACTCTATCATCCTCCATCCACACCTCCACCCAACTCTGCACATCATGTCCAACATCGTGAACACCATCAAGGACAAGGTTACGGGCAAGCACCACGACAAGCCCAACCAGCAGCCCCACCAGAACGAGGATGAGCAGACGTTCTCCATCCAGCCCCATCCGGCTGTGAGTACATCTTACAAACAGTCTCCATTTCATATATTAACGGGTGGCCTACGTAGATGACGAACGATCCCCGCGACCTCCAGCCCTCGCTCGGCGGTGGTCTCAACACCAACCCTGAGGTCGGTGCGTTCCACGCGCGCGACCCCCATGTCCCGTCCCCGCAGACTGCCAACAACCTGCCTCCCCCTCAGGTGAGTTATCTTGACTCCTGCTTGTCTGAGCAATGCTGACGCCCTCCGTAGAGCCGTGAGGAGTTGCGAGCTCGCGCAGCGGAGCTCAACAAGGAGTAATCTTGTCGCCGCCGAAGGAGCCTGAAGTGTACACCTTATCATTGTATAATAGCCCGGACGACTGGATGATTGTATGAACAATATTTCTGCTGGATCATGCGAGCGGGATAAAGTTAGGGGAAGACTGCCAAACAACGAATGCGCAAGCATATGCAGGATGTTAGGCCAGAATGCACGTTCTCGTTCCATGCATTTGAGCTGCGAGCTGTTGATCATAAGCTGCGTAATAAGACATCGCCAAGTATGCCTACCAACAAAGATATGATGAAGTACACTGTATCATATAGTTTGTTTTGCGCATTTCACAACATGTGCATCGCCCGTAGCAGCGGAGAGAACTGCATATTTTGCGGCAATAATCAGGCTGGATGAAACACGCGCACTTATACCTGCATCATGCCGCGAGCGGCAACCAGGATGCAACCGAAGCACACACCCCCTGAAGGAGTTGGCTACTAGCGAGAGGCCGGAGGACGCCCGTCGTATCAGACGCCGAAGGTTGCGATAATGTGACAGACTGTGACGTAACGCAGCAATCACACTCGTGACTGACACTGACGCGTACGGCGTACGCGTCCAAAGCATGCGTTGCTGCACCTGTCCGCGATCTCACTTGTGCTCCGTCCTCCCCCCACGCCCATTCGGTCTTCGCACCCCAGATACTTTCCCAACATGGTGAGGAGGCCAAATACCGCACATGCGATCGTCCGACTGACGGTCTGCACTCCCAGTCGATTATGGAATATAACGGTGGCTCCGTGATCGCCATGGTGGGCAAGGAGTGTGTCGCCATTGCCTCCGATCTGCGGCTAGGAAACCAGGCGTTGGGTATCTCATCCAACTTCCAGAAGGTGCGTCAAGCTACCTGGTCTACGCTGCGCGCCGCTGAGCCTTGGGTAGATCTTCCCCATGAGCGACCGGATATACTTGGGCCTCCCCGGACTTGCGACAGATGTAACAACATTGTGCGCACATACCCAAATACTCGCTCCTGCATTCATCTAACACTTAGCTCTCTGCAGGAAGGAGGTCTTCCGATACCGGGTAAACATGTACACCATCAAGGAGGAGCGCGAAATCGAGCCCGAGACGTTCGCGCACCTCGTCTCCTCAACACTCTACGAGAAGCGCTTCGGGCCGTACTTCATCGAGCCCGTCATGGCCGGGCTCGAGAAGACGCCGTCGGGCGCGTACAAGCCCTTCATCGCCGCGACGGACCTCATCGGCTGCCTCAACTTCGCGAAGGACTTCGTCGTCGCGGGCACCGCGAGCACGAAGCTGTACGGTGTGGCGGAGGGTCTGTGGGAGCCGGACTTGGAGCCGGAGGACCTGTTCGAGACGTGCGCGCAGACGCTGCTCAATGCGGTCGACCGGGATGCGTATTCGGGTTGGGGCGCGGAGGTGCATCTGATGTGCGTGTGCTTTGCGTTTCTGAACTGGTCGTCGTCGGGCTGTACTAACGGATTGTGTGCAGCACCAAGGACAAGGTGATCAAGCGCACGCTGAAGGGAAGGATGGACTAGGCTCATATTGTGTTTGTACATCATTGGCATCTCATTTCATACTCGTCTGCATCCGTCGTGCACGCTGATCTGCTCAAGTCCGCCGCGCGCGCAATGGGAACTACCTTGATCACCGGAATATGTTGTACCGTTAAACCGCCGCATCGCAACGCTCTGCACCACGGAGGTGCCTACTTCCGTAGCGGGGTTGTGCACACGGCACTGCACGTTTGATATGCCTCGGCCTTCGTCGGGTAGTTTCAGACGCGGGTGAACGGAGACGGTAGATCGAAGATGACAATCCCCGGAGCGCCTGAAATACGTATTTCAGGATCTGTCTCAGATGGTTCCTCGCAAGGTGTGGCGATTTTCGAATTTTTTGCTCAAGCCTTTTTTTTTTACGTCCAGGTCCGAATCCGCCGTTGCAAGCAAGCTTGCAGCAGTGTTTGGACGTCTGAGCTTACGGCTTTTCTTGCATCCGCATGCTATCCGACTCTTTATACGGTCCGGTGTCGGATCTACTAGTAACGCTAGTCCACCGTTGTCTTCAGAAACATCGCCGCTCGGGGATACCGTCGTCTCTGCACAGCCCCTCGCCTACTAGCTCTCGGGCGTTCCGCACGCGCGTACGGCGTTCTGGGATTTGCATATTACAATGACACTTGCGTAACAGATGTTAAGGGGGACGTTGAGGAAGCACACGAGGCTGTCGTCCCGCCACCACCTACCCTCCCGAGTCCCCCGTACCTACGATCCTCACGACGTCTATGTGAGTTGCACGTTTGGCCTGGTGTGGGGACATGGTAGCTGACATTGTATGCACTAGGATGCTCGCTGTATTGTACGCGATTGCCTCCTGCTTCGTGTTTGCGCTCGCGCAAATCACGTCGCACGACCCCAACCCGCCGGTGATCAGCCCCAACAGCGCGACCGTATGGAACGTCGGTGCGATGGAGACCGTGACATGGTAGGCCGGGCCGCCGCGAACGAAAGGGGACACGCGATCTGACACGCGCGCGCCCTATAGGGACATTACGGGAATCCTGACCACCGATCCGGCGGGGAAGCCGCTTACTGGGATGGTCGTGCTTGGGTATCTGACGGCGGACGGGCAATTCCTCTATCAGAGTACGCATCTCCTTCCCCACTCTGTTGCTCGTCGGCCGGCTGACCGCATTTGCAGCGCAGCCGCTTGTCCAGGGCTTCTTAATCCAGGATAAGCATGTCCAGGTGGTGGTCCCTGAAGTCCCGTCCGGCAAGTACTTCATTGCGCGTAAGCATCCCTTTCCTAAGTTGCGGCTCGCGCCAGGACGCTCACGTCGTACTGCTCTCCCGCAGTGGAGGGTGACACGGGGAACTGGAGCCAAGACTTCACGATCAAGAACGCGGCCGAGCCGTCTGGTACCCCACCCACTTCTATCGTAGTGACCCCAGTCGCGACATCCGCGGCGTCCTCTTCCACGACTACCTCCGTATCTGCCTCCTCTTCGACACCCGAAAGCGTTCCCGCGTCAACAATAACGACGCCCCCTGGCACAAGCTCGGGAAGCGCATCAGGTGCGGCGACTTCGGACAACACGTCGAGCGCGGCCACTTCAAGTAGCGTAACCACGTCCCTGTCGGCGTCAGCGACGGCGAACGCCTCGTCCGCCCCCAGTGTAAGCCCGACGTCCGCGTCTTCGCTCGCGACGGTGATTTCGCCCACGAGCGCGGCGCCGAGTGCCACGAACGCGCCAAACGCGGCGGGGCACTGGGCGGCCGTTGACCGTGCCTTGGTGTTGCCTGCTTTCGGGCTGCTCGCGGCCGGATTGGTAATGTGAGCTGTGGTTGGGATGACGGTGCGGTTCGACCACGATACTCTTCATCCTTGTAATGCCCGTAATGGCTTATGCCCCAATGCCCGTTGTATTATACAGGCTTGCTTCTAGTGGAAACATTTAACTGTGTCTGTCTTAGACGTGAGCCCAGAGACGGAGTGGACGTCGAATACATGGCATAGTTTGACGCTGACGCGATTGGAGAGACAGCATGAGTATCAGCGTTCGCCATTTGGTGGGCTACGCTCCGTGAGCACCGATCCTCTCTTTCGCAGCCACCACGACTCATTGACGGCTCATGCAGATCATCGTGCGTCATACAATGATTGGTCGCACCTCGGCGGCTCGCGGGTATCATATCATGTCCGAGTCTCACCTGTGCGACAAATTTCAAGCCTTTCCTCTCCGAAGTGCGATCAGCTTCTACAGAGGATGACAGGCACGCCGTTGGGTATATGTCTGATCATTGCAAGAAGCTGCAACCTTATAAGCCAGCCGGGTGTGTTCGACGCTGAGTGCTCATTCTGCCCCTCCCAATTCTACCTGGCGCAGCTCACAATGTGGCTCGCCGTGCGCACTGCCTGCGTAGCCTCTCTCGCTCTCTCCTTTCTACCAGCTGCGCTTGTTCGGGCCAGCTTCGCAGACCCACCGCCACCGCCCGTGCTGTCTCCCAAGAGCGGCGACGTGTGGACGGTAGGGGAGGTGATGACAGTTAGATGGTGCGTGCGTCTCTAGCATACATGCATTCGTGTTGATCTTGACTCGCATTGTCTGTGTAGGAGTATGGACGATATACCCTTCTTCGAGGGAGACAACAAGACGCCGTTTCCGGGAACTATCTACCTCGGGCACCTTACCGACTCGGATGCTGGCTTTGCTTTGTGGTGTAAGTAGAAGGACTGCTCGAGTCGCATACACACTGCTCTGACACACGGGTGCGTATAGCCCAGGAACCCCTCGCCGACAACGTCCCCCTCTTGAACAAGGAGGTGGCTGTTGAGGTTCCCAATGTGCCTTCCGGGCGCAACTACTTCATTATGTGTACGTTAGCCCGCCCTCCCCGTGTGTAAATAAGACTGACTCCACTTACCCCGCCGCAGTGAATAAGCCTACGAATCAGGGTGGCATCTTCACGATAGTTAATCCAAAGGACCCGAAGGGAACTGGGGCCGCGCCGTCCTCGATCTCGGTATTCACTTTCCCGGTCACAACCGCGAGCTTCATGCTGCCGTCGACTTTGTCGGCACTCACCTCTTCTACCTCGGCGGGTGTATCGGGAAACGCGTCGATTCCAACGTCAGGATCTGGCGCCCCATCCACATCGTCCACGGCTTCCTCTTCGGACGCGACGACCTCTGGCAGTAGCAGTTCCTCTGCAACCATAGAGGCCCCTGCTTCACCGACCTCCGGCGGATCCGCATCATCTACCGCTCCTAGTGCGAGTGCACCGTCCTCGACTTCAACGTCAACGCCCAACGGTGTCATACAACCGAGAGCAGGAGGGTTGGTGCTGGTGCTTTCCATGATTGCCCTGCTACATGTTGGGCTCGGCTGAGAATTTACGTCGCCCCGGTGTATCCCAATAAGTACCCCTTCTTGATATCATCCTGCTATTTCGGAGTGCTGCCGCCTCGCTGCAGGAGAGAGTCCAAAGCGATGCCGTACGTCGCGAGCGCCTGCAGGAGCGCCCGCAGGCACGGCGGGTCAGAGGACGGGTGACGTCATGGCATCTGGTACTACGCCGACGTCATGCAGCGTAACGGTAGAGGCAGCAACGCCTCCACCAAAGGAGAGGTTAGAAATGCGTCATTCTCCATCGGCCAACCCGCTATTCTTAGCACCTGCGTATATAGGCCACCCGTCCTTGCAGCAGGAGCATCAACTCACCCATACCACCCACCACCTCCACACACACACACACACTACCACAACCTGAACATGTCTAGCATCAACGACTCCCCCGTACAGTCCCCCGCGCCCGCGTCTGGTCCCGGAGAGGACGGTGGCTACCCCGAGCAGAGGCACGCTGGTGCCGTCGGCTACGGTCCAGAATATATGAAAGGAGCGGTCAGTACTGTACTCCTTACATTTCCTGAGAACCGTATGAACATTAGCTGACTTCCGTGGGCATAGACGACAGGCGACAAGCTTACGGGCATGAAAGAGGAGGTGAAGGGCAAGCTCTTCCGCAAGCCCGACCTCGTCGAGCACGGCCGCGAGATGCGCACCGGCGAGCTCAAGAAGAAGCAGCAGGAGGATGACGTGCGTGCCCCCATCTCTCTCATATCCCTATCCCGAAAAGCCTAACGCCATTGCTTGCGCGCACAGGCCAACCCCTTCGCCAACGCGAAAGAGGACGACAGCGAGAAGCCCGCCGCTGGGGTACAGCGGCAGGCGAGCGGCGCGTCGGGCACGCAGTCTCAGACTCCAGACGCCCCGAACCCGAACTCGTCGTACCCGCCCGCGATGTCCGACACCACGCACGCGTCGGACAAGGGCGCGCGCGAGCAGGCTGCCGCGACCGCGCCCGAGGGCACCGAGAAGGCGCAGCGGCAGAAGACGGGCGGTAACGCGGACAACGTCTCGTACATCGGCTGAAGAGCTTTGTCGTAGAATTGGACTTGATGGATATCGACATCTACTGTAACATCGTGTACATCATTGTATGACTGCTTGTATTCATGGAACCTGGAACTCACTATCATACATCCTGCTTCTTCCTCTGCTGCAGTGTGCCTCGAGAGCTCTGAGGATCTGTGATCTGTGAGCGCTGTCAGCATCCACATGCATCAAGAGTGAATCACAAATCGAGTACCAATACCTCGCATTCAACAATCTTCACGCAGAGCACACCACATATAACCCGAAACAGTTGATAGTATGGTATGCAGCAAAGCTGGAGGCAGAAAGTCCGAAAAGTCAAGAGATACAGCGTGATAGATAGGAGAAAAAGCGAAGAGCATTAAGGGCATCGCGCGCCCGCCGTCAGAGTCCATGCACCCCCATCGCTCCGTCTAACGTACGAGGTACACACACTGCCCCGCCTCCCGTCATTAGCGCAGCGCCCCACCCCGGGCCCGAGCACCCCGGCCGGGCGCGCGCGACGTATGATACACGGTCATCATCATCATCCCCAGAGTCCCTGGAACCCGCGCTGCCCGAGCGGAGCCCGGGCCCGCACACAGGCACGCAGAAACCTTACGCGTGGCTGCCGAAGCGGTGCTGGTTGTCCGAGTACGGGTACGCGCCCTGGGTCGCGAGGAGGCCCTCCTTCGCCTCGTACGTGCCGCCCGTGGTCGGGTTGAGGCGGAAGTCGTTGCGGTACTCGCGCTCCTCCTCGAGCTGCTGGTAGTAGCGGCGGATGATCGTGACGATGTCTGGAAGAGGTTTTGGTCAGCATCACCAATCCATGTTTGATATCAGACAAAATGGGGATTGCGAATTCGCGAAAACACGCCGCGGGGACGCGTGTGCCTGCGCGCGGGATGCGCTGGACGCGCGATTGCGGGGATGACGGGTTCGAGAAGGAGACTCACAGAGCTGGATGAACCACTGGACGACGATGCCGATGGTGAGGCCGATCTTGCCGCCCGTGTTGAGGCTGCTTTCCGTGCAGGACTTGACGTTGTCGACCGTCACGCAGAACGGCTTGTTGGCCCAGGTTGCGTAGAGGACGAAGCCAGCGGCCGCCGAGCCCAAGAAGAAGCTGAAGATGGTGAGGACGGAGTACGCCTTCACCATGCGGCGGTTGCGGATGATTGAGCCGACGAAGCTAGAGCACCACCACGTCAGCACGGTGCACGCTGAGCGAAGGGGGGAGACCTGGCGGCAGACGTACCCAAAGAAGGCAACGAGCGCGACGAAGGTGAAGATGGCGGCGCCGACGATGACGGCCCACTTGTATTTGTGCACTGATGCCTCGAATGCCTCCTTGTCCGAATCCTTCACGTTCGTCTCAATTTTTGAGAGTTGGTTCGTGTCAATCACTGCACAGTGCACGATTTAGTCAGTCTCTTGAACTTCGGCGTAGGCAAAGGAGTTGACGTACAGTGAAGGAGGAACCATCCCACAGCCGCGCTGAAAGCGGCTCCTGCGAAGGACAGGAACGAGAACAGGAAGACACCGAAGCGGACGGGGATGCAGAAGCAGAAGTGCTTAGACATGGCGGCTCAGTCGGTCGTTAGCGTGCGCGGTCGCGAAAAAAATGGAAGAGGTCGTTAGGCGAGGGAGGAAGGAAACGCAAGCAGAACCCTCGGCGACGGTAAGAGGGGAGGGAGGGGAAGAGGGGGGAAAGGGTGCGGACAGGGGGAGGCGGCTGTCGTACTTTATAATCTGGATGCATAGATGATGGCGATGAGAAGCTTGAGACGCGCCGCCGTCGGGCTGTGCGGGTAAAGCACAGGCGCCGGGCGTAGCGCGGGCGCGCAGTCTAGCCGCCCACACCTTGCCGCTTCTGTACGCACCGCCGACGTCTGGCTGCGCCTCCCTCAGCCTCAGTCTTGTGCCTGTAACCATCTTCCACACAACACTCTTCGCTCAGACTGCTCGCGAGTGGGAGAGACAGTACCTTTGGCCTCCTATCTCCCAACGAATTCGGCGAGAGAAGACACCGGCAAAGATGCCATCGACAGACGGGACGCGTCCGAATTGGATTTGGTCATCCCAGGCATGGGAGGCGCAACGCAACTCGAGCCTCGCGCCAGGCTGTGCCACGCCCGCTGTCCACGAGGGAACAGGAAGGCGGTTGCGCAGCTTGCGTCCGGCGCTCGCCCACAGCCTCAGCGCGGAGAGCCGTCGATCCCCGTGCTCAACTTCTCCATTTTCCTCAGCTCGGCGGTGACACGGTGTCTCGCGACGCGACGCGCTTTGTGCACTCCACACCGTACTCACCGCGGGCGATGTTTGTCTTTGTCCTCGAGCTCCAAGGCCAGGCCAGAATTGGTGAAACCGGGGATGCGGCTGCGCCCCCGACCGCCCGACACGCGCGAGTGAAGATGGTTCAGGACTCTCCGGAATTTTCGGAGGAATCAGCTCGCTATGGCCACCACGTCCTTGCCGCGAACTGGTCAATTTGTCATGGGCGACCTCTGGCCATCAGACGACCACTCACTGGTAGGCCTTGAGGCTTCCTGCCTTTCGATTGCACTTGCGGTGGTCGGCGTCGTCTGCTAGCTTGCTCTTGTCCGCAGTTTAGGCCGACGATCGTGACCGCATCTACACAGCTTCGATGGGAGTTGAAGGTGCATGTATGTGCATCTTGCTGCGCTCGACTTGACCGTGCGTGAACTCGGACACCTGCGGGCTGCGGTCGGACATCCCGTGGTAAGTCGTTTACATAAGGTGAGCGTACAGAGAGAGAGGGAGGGGATGAGGGGAGAACAAGAGAGGGAGACAAAATCGGAGAGCAGGTTGTATGCGTTTGCTAAGGTTCAACAGGTCAAGAAGCATGACGTCGTTCGAACCCCCGAAAGAGCATGCGTTCTCCCGCGAACTAGATCCTCTCCTCCCTCTCTCTCTCTCATCTACACTCAACTTCCGCATCTTTCCCAGCACCGTCAACGCGCCGGCAGCGCACGCGAGGGGCCTCCCGTACGTGCAAAGCGCAGAATTGGTTGCTCGGAAGTGCTGCATCTCGAGCTCAGAGGTGCGTATTTGAAGATACGCCGCAATTACTTCTTGTCTTCCTGACTATTCCTGCAAATTGCATAGCGCTCTGAATGGGACTCCTCCGAACAAACCCCTTGTACGGACGTAACGACGCTAATAGGACATCAGCGAAGCCGGCGTACAATATATACCTCCAGGAGTGCGTCGTCCCGGCCGGGCCGCTCTTGCAATACCCATGCGACCGGGATGAGCCTCGAGACTCGCGCCCAGAGCGGGGTCGTCAATTAAGTCTCCATGATTTCCCGGCGGTAGCACATGGGTCCGAAGGCAGCAGGTACAACGGCTCTGGCGGCGGTCGCCATCTCCGCCTGATCCCTCCTCTGCCGTCGGTCCCGCGCCTTCTCTCTTTGCCTATATGCGGTGATCGGGATCGCACCTCTGGTCGACTCTGCGCGGTGCGGTCCTTCTAATAACTCCGAGTGGCTGGTCGAGAGTCTAACGTGCGACCCCGGGTCAGGTCATGCTCGTGAGCCGGAGCCGCGACGCTCACAAGGGAGCGCGAAGTACAAGCGTGCGTTTATCCGTGTCTTCTTTCACAAGTCGAGGTGGTGCTCATGACATCGTACGCGTGCAGATGCGGGGCTTCGCAACCCGGCTACGCATCTAGACCTGCCGAATATAAGACAGCCGGGTCCTTGTCCTCCCTCTGAGTCTCGTCCTGCAGCCCTATCCTCTGGACGCCTTTCAGCGAGGATCCCATTTCTGCATACACGATCGCCCACTTCAGCGCAGCCACCACCATGTTCGCCAAATCCTTCACGCTCCTTCTCCTCTCTCTCCCTTTCCTGGTCTCTGCCGCGCCTGCTGAGCTCGAGGCTCGCGCGAGCATCGACACATCCTCGCACTGCGGCCAGTGGGACACCGTGACCGCGGGCCAGTACGAGCTCCTGCTTGACCAGTGGGGAATCAGCGGCGCGACCTCCGGCTCTCAGTGCGCCAACCTCATCAGCCTGAGCGGCAGCACCATCTCCTGGAAGACGACCTGGCAGTGGACCGGCGGCTCGGGCGTGAAGAGCTTCTCGAACATCCAGCTCAACCAAGGCCTCAACAAGCAGCTCAGCGCGATCAAGAGCATGCCCGTACGTCTTTTCCCTCCAGTCTCACTGTGCCTTTTTATCAGACTCGCTCACGACATTCTCCATGCACAGTCGACCTGGCAGTGGTCGCAGACCACGTCCGGGACGATCACCGCGGACGTCGCGTACGACCTCTTCACGGCGAACAGCGCGGGCGGCGCGAACGTGAACGAGATCATGATCTGGCTCGCGAACTTCAATGCGGGCCCGATCTCGTCGCAGTACGGCTCGGACGGCAAGCCCGTGCCCGTCGCGTCGAACATCAACCTCGCGGGCCACACCTGGAACCTGTACAGCGGTTCGAACGGCGCGAACGCCGTGTTCTCGTTCCTGCCCACGAGCGGGACGATCACAAGCTTCAGTGGGGACCTCAACACGTTCTTCCAGGTGTGTATCGCTGTGTGCTTCGAGGGGGCGCGTGCTGACTAGGTGTTTGTGCTGCAGTACTTGACCCAGCACGAGGGTGTCAGTACTTCGCAGTTCCTGGTCACCGCGCAGGCTGGTACGGAGCCCACTGTCGGTTCTGCGACGCTCACTACGTATGTTTCCGCTTCCTGTGGATATCATATGATCGTCCCTAAACCTCTCATACAGGACCGCATACAGCTTGGCTATCAACTAGGGTGTCAACTCTTGTACTTCGAACGTCAATCAATTGCTTTATCGCCTCCAGATGTTATCGTGTGCAGGGCTATACATTAAAACTACACAGAACGGCGGTCCATCTTACCGAGCTAATTCTCAAACAGATATCTTCGAACACTCAGACGAACAAATAGCGGGCAAACAACGATGTATTATCCCAAACGATTAACCAAGAATTACGCTAACCATCCCTCTCATCAGAGACCGACGCGTCCTTCGCGAAGAGCTTAGAGCTCGATGGGAAGGCAGCCGATGGAGATCAGGCCACCCTAAACACAGAAGGTCAACCGACGAACAGACTGCAAAAGCAAGACAAAAGACGTACGACGTTGTTGTTCTGGCAGCAGACGGGGCTGGCGGAGCAGGAGCTCTGGCCGAGGCCGACGACGGAGAGCGGCGAGCAGCCGAGACCGATGCTCCCGGTGATGTCGCCGAGGACGACCCCGAGGAGGGAGAGGATAGCGGAGCCCGCAGCAGAGTCAGACTAGCATATCGTGGTAAGCTTCCCGTCTCCACGCTGGGTGAGAAGGAAGACTAACCTTCTCAACGCTGTTGCAGCACTGGATGGGACCGGTGTTGCAGCTCTGGGCGGCCGCAAGGAGTGGGAGGGCGAGGACAGAGGCGACAGCGACGCGAGCGAACATCGTGAAGGACTAGTGTTGGGTGGGGGGGTGAACAGAAGTGTTGAGGATGTGGGCTGCGTGAGGTAGCTGAACGACTGCTGTTGTTCGGACTGGGGAGCCACCGACCTCCGCTGGGGGTTTATATCCCTCCCTGCTCCCCCCTCCGAAGCGAACCCTGCCTTGGCTGGCCGCTGGCACTCGGTGCGTCGTGGCCCGCGCACAAGCGAAACAGTCACCGTCTCTGAATCACCCTTCACCCTTCCTTCCTCAGGTTGCCGTCATTCAGATCTCGTTCGTGAATGGCACGGAAGCAGGGCTCGAGCTTCGCGCTTCCTCGTGTCTCGCGCCGGCGTCGGCGGCGGGCATGCTTGAGGTTCTCCCGGATCGCTCGCGGGCAGGGGTGTGCGCGGGGCGCCCACCCACGTCGCTTGTGTGGATTCAATTAGCTCAGACATTAGGCGTTTTCGCTTAATCTGGGCCAGACCTGCGCGCCGCCACCGCCGGGTGATCTCAGAACCCGTGGTGCGCCGTCTTGCATCGGCGCAGTCTACTGAACGCCCGAGGCCGCCACGAAGGTTGCCAGCCTAGCATGATACCTGTCACCGAACGTTGCGGTCGAGGTATGTTGCATACGTAATCTCGCTGTCGGTCTCGGTCTCACTGGTCTGCCTGCCTGCGGGGTGTCACGAATACAAAGCATTCCGTATAGCCGTATTGGCCGCAAGCGACGTGCCTGACGTGCGCTGCGTCGCCTACCGAGGCCCAGGCGACTCGCGCTGTGGGTGCGGACGCATGGGGCTGACTCGACGCAGCGCGTTACGTGACAGGGTCGGAGGACGGAGCTCGTCCACCAGTCAGCTCTCGACACGAGCACGGAGGGCGCGCGGAGGTGTGTACTTGTTGCTCACGTACGATCTTGTTAGTCTCGCATTTGACGAAGCGACGTCTCGCTACTCTCCAGGACGTGCCCTTTGCCCATCCCTCGCCGCGCTGCTCATCGGACGACTTTGGAGGTTTGAGACCCCCGACGCGATGTTCCATTCCGCACTGTTAATTGAGAAGACCCCGACACCCCGCAGACTAAACCCGGCGCGGACGAGGGCGGTGGGTCGAAGGACAAGCCCGAAGGCTATCTCCGTCAGCTTGCGCGCGTCAATCACCCTTCGAACCACACATCTTCTTGCTCCAATTCCGTCTTGGTGACAGGTTACAGCATCCCCCAAATTTTCGCCCTTCTGACCGGGATGGTGCACGCCGTGGGCGGTGCGCGCGAAGCCGTTCTCGACCTCAGCCCAAGGACGGGACGCGCACGGCCAGGCGCCCAAACGCGTCGCGACACAACTCGTTTCCGTCACCTGACCGCGTCGGAAGAACCGCACGACTCGTGCGCGGGACTCCGTTCCGCACGAAGAGTCGGAAAAGAGCACACGTCCAGTTCCGGACAGTTGCACGACCGTGACACTCATCCACCTCGATCCCAGGTAGGTGCACCATCGTTTTTTCGTGAATGAAACGCCTTTACATACTCCGACACCCCGCGCGGCTAGGCGCATCTGCTGAAATCCCCGCGTTGTGAGTCTCCATCTGCATGTGGACGTGCACTGATCTTCGGCCAGATAGGAACATGAACGGCTCTTGCTTCTGCGGCGCGGTCTCGTACTCTGTCGCTGGTAGCCCGGTCCTAAGTGCCTTCTGTCACTGCACAAACTGCCAACGCCTCTCCGGTACGTCTCGCACCGGTCATCGAACTTCCATGCGGTGCGCTCACAGCCTTGCATCCACCAGGCTGTCCCCTTGTTCACACCATCCACTTCCCTGCGGCGGAGTTCGCTTGGACGCACCCAGCGCCGCACGAAGATTGTTTGGACAGCTATGTGATCCCGAGCAAGCCGTGGAAGACGCGTTTTCGCTGCAAGCGCTGCGGCGCGTGCGTGATGTCTGCGAACGTGAAGGCGGGCAAGTGCAGTGTCTGGGGCGCGCATCTCGCCAGGGACGACGCGGGGAAAATCCTGCACTGGGAGAAGGTCAGGCCGACCGCGCATATCTTCTACGGCACACGGATGCTCGACGTCGACGACGGGCTTGGTAAGTGGGAGGGCTATGAGGGCGGCTCGGCGCGTCTGGGATAGGGACAGGTGCGCGTTCCAAGTGCTCTCCGCATCTGGCATAGGTTTCACGTACAATAGTAGAAATGCAGATCCCCTTGCGGGGGTGTAGATCGATTCCCGAAATGAATCAGAAGCCGGAAAGCAGCGTTGCGAAAGGGAAAGGCCACAACCACTGTGTCCCGCCCCGCGAGTCTCGACTTCCGCTCTAGCCAAGCGCCCTTCTCCCTCGGCGTTCCTGAGCACTGCGCAGATGCATTTCGCGAACCCGCTCTGAGCAGCCCGCGCAAAGAAGGCGAGCCTACTGCACCCAGCACGCTTCTTAGTCGGAGTTCACTCCTGAAGCACCCGCCGTAACGCCCTCCGGAGGTCCGAGGCGCACTAGTGCTGCGTGCCGCGACAGGCAGCCGAATTGCTCTAATTGCTAGGTGGGTGCCGCGTGAGGGTGATCCTTCGCATGCGCGCGGGAGCGACGTACGTTGCCAAAAGCTTCTAGTGTGCGATGTCCCGAATAGATCGTTGATGTGGTAGCCTGCGTGGCTATTATCGTACGGGGACCGCGCGCGGCCTAAACATGTCTGATTGGAGCTGTCAGCGGTGCGACAGCTGGGCGCGCGGGGGCGTTGGAAAGAGCGAGTGATTGGCTGCCGTCGTGCTTGGGTGGTTGTCCCGTCTCGTTCCAACAGAGTCTCTCAGGTCGGCTATGTCAAAAACCAATCGATGTCTGGCTGTTACGCCGTACATGCCGGGGAATTGGGGGTCGCATGTTCGAGGGCGATTGAGCGGTTTACAGAAAATGCAACGCCGAGACTTGAGGCCCAACTCTGCACCGGGCTCGTGGCCCATGGTCTTCTCGCTGCGAGTATGTCTCACACAAATGAACTGCGGCGCGTAGTCTCGATTCTGGGCTTCGTGCGATACTAAGAATTTTGAATTAACGGGAAACGATCGACGAGGTCGAAGGGACAGCGGCAATCCCATATTGACCAATAACGAGCGTGAGGTAAAGTAAGAAGTAACGTCTAATCTCATTGAAGGAGGAGGCGAAAGGTCAGAGAATGATAGGGATGCAGCCGATGGAGATGAGGCCGCCCTGCGAAACAAACAGAAAACAGTTAGCATCGTATGTTCTCCGCCGCCAGATCGTGGAGATAGAGAGGGACGCGGGCTTACAATGCTATTGTTCTCGCAGCACACAACGTTGGAGGAGCACGCCTTGTCCGTGCCGAGGCCCACGATCTTGATCGGGGAGCACTGCAGGCCGAGCACGACGTCGACGGCGTCGACGACGACGCCAAGCAGGCCCAGGAGGGCACCAATGACATGGTCATCTGCCTGTGGAAGTGCATGCGTCAACGGCGCGTCGACATGTGGAGTGGGAAGCCGAAAATACGTACGCCGCCGACGCTTTGGCAACATTGGACGTTGCCGGTACTGCAAAGATCCCCTGGAGTGCTAGTGGGGGGAGGCCCCGTCGCGGTGATCGTCGTGGTCGGAGGCGGGGGCTTGCCTCCCGGCAAGGCGACCGCAAGGAGTGTGAGAGACAGGACAAAGTAGAGCGTGGCGACGGCGCGGGAGAACATCTTCACAGATTCGGCTTGCTGGTTGTGCAATGCCTCCTCCGCACGACGATTCCCTGTACGTCTTTATACCAGCGACAACAGGACAAATGCATGCCGTCGACCTCCACTGCGGCGTACTTTGCGCGCCTCAGGCAGGCAGCATCATGGCCGTCACAGTATGTTAGGCGGAGCCGCCAGGGACCACGTTGAACGAAAGCATGCTTCGCGAATTCAACGCGAGTGGGAGTGTACGACATACTCACTTGTCATGGACCTGACGCCTCGGTGGTCGACGGAGGACCGAGGCACCGAAACATGTGTTGCTGACTCGTATGGCTTCACGAGAATGCCGTCGCTGCCAACGCGGGAGCAGAGGCGGGCCACGGGTGCGCACGCCTGCCTCCGAGGTGTCTGCTCCATGTCCAGAGGGCACAGCTGGTTCATACCCGACCCCGGTGTCCGAATACCGGGGACGTTGATCCACAGGGATGGAAGTGCGAGGGAGGATGCACGCTCCGCATGGCTGCGCTCCACTCGCGTATGCGAAGGTTGGCGAGGCGTCGAGACCGAGAGGCGGGACCCAGGTGCTGCAAAGAGTGTGCCGTCAATTCCGGGATGTGCGGGTTCGGAGGTCGTAATGAAAATACCCATAAATGTCGCCGTGCAGAGATCGATATCCTCCTCGATCAATCTGATCGAGCGGCCGCCTCCTTCCGGGAATCTAGTGAATCCAAGACATAAAGAATACCGCGACGCGGGGGGCTTGGAAGTTGGAGAGAATGCATGGAGTAGCTGAGGAACGAAGCCTGGATTGCATCTGGGTGGAGGAGGGCGGGTTCTCCGAGAGCCAAGCAGCGGCACCAGCGGAGCGTTGGTGGTTCAGCGAAGGACGGGACGGGAGGAGAGCAAGGCGCCGTTGCCAAAGATCTGGCCGCATTTGGGCCGCCTTCCCGACCCTTCACGATGGTGCGGAGGTAAAGAGCTTACCGGAAGCTGTGGAGGATCTCGCTCACACACCCGCGCAACGGACACGTCCTCGCAGTGGGATTCCCATTGGCGTGCCTGGCGGCTGGGCGCGCGGCGTCCTCAACACTTTGTCCACGGCGGCGCGGAAATGCCTGCGCTTTATTGGGCGCGCACGTTATCCAATTATCTGCAGAAACACGGGGCGCGCGCGAAACTCACTGTGTACGGGCTCTTTGTAAACCGACTGGGGCCCCGCGGATGAGTTGAGTGTTCGAGCTTGGTTCGAGCTGGCGTCGCGGCATACACTGGCAGGCGTTCTGATCAGGTCGCGGTCTCGAGCGACGACGGAACACGCCGCGGCGCCGTACAGGCCGCGCTCAGCAACCCGTTCGTTTCATTACCGAGATCCTCCCGACCAATGGCAAAAAGCTGCCTGGACATCTCCCCACGACGACAACGCCGAGGATGCATGGTGGCCAGCTTTCATTTGGGCCCCAGAAAGTGTATTCCATCAGCGCGCAAGGCGCTACACATCACCTCCGTCGGACGCACTGTCCCCCAGCCGGGTACTGGCACCGTGCACAGATGAATGCTCTGGCTCGGCACAATCGATGCCGTAGAGGAGGATTGCGGCAAAGACGTCCAGAACTTGGACAGGACCGGAGGCTCTGGACGTCAGGTGGGCGGGAGCGAGCGCGCCCACACACTTGACTCCATGCGAGATGAACGCAGGAATAACGCACTTAGCGACGCATTCCCTTGCCAAGGATCCTGGTGCGGCGCTGTACGCCCGCTCGTTCTGAGGCTGGACGCTCGGCCGTAAAGACACGAGGGCCGATGAACGCTGCATGGTTCTCATGGCCCGTTGCATTCAGCCAGAAATACACCGGAAGTTCCTACATGCTCAAAGTATGAGTTCGAGCGCGCAGAACCTGAACAGCGCGTCAGCGCAGTGCTTGACAGTCGACGTACGAAGACGCGTCTTCATCACCTGTCCAATCACAACTGCAGAAGATGTCTGGAAAGACCGCCCGAATCCGAGCCGTGTTGGCAAGTGCGAACTGTCAAAAACGTGTTCCGCGATGGGAAAATGTAGGATATGCAGAGGCTGGGCATCTGGCACGAGGCCGTAGAACACTGGTAGCCTGGATCGTTAGTGCACCAATGCGGGTGGGAGCATAGGCGTACCGGGTGAGCTTCTTCATCTCCACTGGCCAGAGTGGGTCGTGGAACGACTGCGCTCCCAATAGCGGAGAATGGAATAGGGGAAATTGCAGTCCTACTGCCACTGCCGCGTGGACGTGGATCAATACACTCCGACAAGGTACGCCCACACTCCGGCCGACCCGAGGTGCCGAACGGAGAGTGGGCGAGGAGGAGGTACTGCGCCAAACGTATAAAAGCGCAGACGTCGAGCCCTACAGTCCTCAGATCATCAGCCCGGTCTACCAGTCACTCGACACTCGAACACTCCCAGTCCAACCACCCGACTCACCATGTTCTCTCGCGTCGCCGTCTTCGCCACCCTGGCCCTCCCCCTTCTTGCGGTCGCCACGCCCGTTGAGCTCGAGGCTCGCCAGACCTGCAGCACCGGCGCCATCCAGTGCTGCAACAGCGTCCAGAGCGTAAGCGCGCCCACCCAGCATCGGAGGCGGATACTTACCCCTGCGCTCACAGTCCAGCTCCGTGTCGGGCAACTTCCTCCTTGGCCTCCTCGGCATCGTCCTCGGGGACGTGACCGGTCTCATCGGGCTCGACTGCTCGCCCCTCACCGTCGTCGGCGTCGGCTCCGGCAACGCGTGCTCCGCTAACGCCGTCTGCTGCACCAACAACAACGTTGTAAGTCCCCGCGCAGTCTCGACGGAGTCTCGACGCCGGACGCTGACCATGGTCTTAGGGCGGGCTGATCTCCATCGGCTGCCTCCCGGTCATACTCTAATCTGTGGGAGCTCGGGTTGTCAATTGGGTCGGGTTCTAAGGGGCGGAAATGGCTTACCGTAAATCGTTGTATATGTGATCTATGCGCCTGAGAATGGAGCGTCGAGGTTAACCCAGAACTCAGGAGCGCTCCGAAGAACACTCACTGAGATGAGTTTCTGACGGCGACTCTATCAGAGAGCGTAGACGCGGTCTAGATGGCGGCGAATCTGCGCGGGATCCTAGATGAGAATCGACCGTAGCAACGATGTGATCAGTTCTGCTATGGCGCCGCGATTAACACATACCAGATTCCAGAAGCCATACCCTCCGCCGGCATCAAGCCACGGACATAGAAGACGTCCGGTGTGTACCGAAAGATTTCAGAGCAGTGCTGAACAGTCAACGGTGGTCCACCTATCCCCGGAGGATCCTTCGCTGTAAGTTCATCTACACTATGCAGTGAGTTTATGCCGGCTGTGGTGCACATTGGAGCTCAGTACGGACGATCGATAGTGCCGATAGTGCTTCAGACGTACGCATAGAGTACACAAGTGTGCGCACGTAAACCGGTACCAATGCCTTCGGTATTACGACCACACTCTATTGGGGGCGTTCTGGAGCGGAGAAAGCATCCGTTGCGGTTCGGAGGGCGGGTTTCCAGTCCACTGACAGACAGCTATGATGGCGAACCACACTGAGCGCGTTCTCCGACGGGAAGAAGCGTTGGGGCGTTCTACGAGAGCGTCAAACCCACTACGGCCCTGCATAGAAGGACCAAGTGCTGACTCACCGAACCTCCGAACCGTAATCTTGTCCACGACGTCAATTCCGGTCGCGTGCACGGCGCGCCCGGCCGTAACCTCCATTCTTGTTTGGGGAACAAGGGGAGGCTTTCCGGATTCCGGAGACGACTTGGAGGAGAGCAAGTCTTCACCCGAGCACCGCTGGGGCTCACGGCGATCAATTGGTCTGACAGCGCGAAATGCTTGGGCGCGGTGGGGTTCAGCTGCATGAGGTTCAGCCCGATCAAATGAAAGAAGGCGCGCCGCAGTGGTCCGCTGTGTCCCCGCCGGCGCCTAACACTACGCGAAGCCGCTACGCGTCGGGTAGCGTTCTCAGACACAGATCTGCTGGCCGAGAGCCACGAACCCAGAGTGACGAGACCGGCTGGCAGCACGAAGGACGCGAGCGCGCGGAGTGCACCCGGCCGCGCCTGTGCGCACGGGCCGACCGCTGCACGTATAAATAATGCAGCGTCCGCGGTGGAGAGTCCCCATTGCAATCGTCCTCGATCAGCAGTTTTTCTCTCGTCTCTCAAACCACTCACTCACCCAGTCACTCTTTCGACTCCCAACCCTCACATTCACTATGTTCGCCCGTGTCGCCGCCTTCACCGTCCTCGCTCTCCCCGTCTTTGCGGCTGCCACGCCCGCCGTGCTCCGCCGCGGTGACTGCAACACCGGTTCCATCCAGTGCTGCAACTCTGTCCACGAGGTATGTGCATGCTTGCATGTTTTGTGCTGCGAAGCGTGATATTGACGTGACTTCGCCTTTGCAGACGAACGAGAACGCTGTTAGCGTCCTCCTCAGCCTCCTCGGCCTCGACGCCGGCAGCCTCACCGGCTCCGTCGGCCTCCAGTGCTCCGGCATCTCTGGTGTCGGCGCTGGCCAGGACTCCTGCCAGGCGAGCCCCGTCTGCTGCACGAACAACAACGTCGTAAGTATATTTTCTTATCAATGCTTAAGAAGCGTGCTCACTGTTTATTCACTTAGGGCGGCCTCATCTCCGTCGGCTGCATCCCCATCATCCTCTAAGCTCGTTCCAGCAGTAGGCAGGGGCATTAGTGGATTCTGAGTATCGTAATATCACATAATAAAAAGCTTGGATATCCTGCCTCTTCGTGTATGTGTGCGCGAGCCTTAGTCCGTCTTTCAGAATTGGGTCCCTGTTACGAAGGCAACGTTCGGAAGCATAAGTGTTTGTGAAAAAGGCGGTGGTGGTTCTTCGACAACCTTCCCTATAGTGTGGGATCTTGTTGAGGCAGCGCTTGAGACGTCATTCATGTTGGGCTGGTGTATATGTATGCAAGGAACGATCTTCTATGGCCTGGTGGTCTAGTAGTATGATTCCTTCTTAGGGTTCGAAGAGTGATCTTTGAGTGTATTTGGAGGAGGTCCCGGGTTCAATTCCCGGCCAGGCCCTTTTTGGTGCAGCTCACCTGCGGAATCGATTGAAATGCTACACGCTCCGTGGTAGATTACCGGTCGCATTTTACCGTACGAGATGGAGTGACGCCGTCAAGCCTCAGAACATGGCCTTTCGATGTCGTTGACGCGCGGTCTACTTGCAAGAGCAAACATGTAGATGACCCCGCAGTACGAGTTCTAAACTCAAACAAGCCCTCCTTGATCTTCTTGGATGCGACGCGCGCACAACCTACCCGCTTCCGCGAACTCCTCGGAGCGCGGTTGAGAAATCCGAGACCCCCGGCTGTCTTCCTTGGCCGTCTTCTCAGCGGGTGTCAAAGTCACCGCAAAGATGCGACGCGCGAGACCGTTCTTCAACGCGGACGCCCCCTAGGCCGCGAGATAGATGCGGACGGGAAGCTTCTTGTTTCGGGGGCGCAGTGCGCGGTCGGAAGCCGGATACCGTCGAAGATTTCGGTAAAGATTCTGCCCATGGTCAGCGAGCTTTTGACACTTCCACTGCCTTCGCTGTCGACATTGATGCAACGCGGACGGGAACTAGCAACCAAATCTGAACACATATTGTCAGCTCCCCTTCCACTCGGGCGATACGAGAGCGCACCTTTTGAAACAGAATTGTCATCCCAGAGGGGCACCCTCCATGCCGTCACAACTATGGGCGCATATTGATTCTAGTAACATACCCGGACCTGCGGTGACAATCAAACGACCTCGCCACCGTAAAGTGCTAGTCGAATTTGAGAGCGAAGGTCATGCCGTGAACCCGCGCCAAGTAACGTCCAGTGTAGCAGACGTGCATAGGCGTGGATGCGGATGTCTGTGGTTAAGCTGCGGACAATTGTATCGACTGATGTGCCTGCCATGAACCCACCTTCAAGATTATTACGCACCCATGACTTAACTGAGCGCGACACCAACATGACGCAGAGACGACGGATTCAGGTTTGGACCGCCGCCACACCGGCAGTCGCTCACTATAGTCCAAGAGATGGGTCGATGATGTTCAGACGACGCAATAGCGGAAATGCGTTCTTGCTCCAGCAATACGCAGATGGTAGTTCGGACGAAAGAGCAGTCATGGCGGAGCGGGATGACGAAGAGAGACTCGGGACTCCGGAGGCCGCCTCCGGAAGCCGCGAGCGGGCGCTCCGTCGCGCGTCTCGATTAGTATGACGGTCGTCGTGACGTCTCTTGGTGTCGACCACGATGTTGCTCTCCTCCCCGGGCCTCCTCTTCCTTGACTTGCCGCTGCACACCTCGAGGCCAAGCGCAATTTATACCGTTTTCTGTGACATTCATCTTCCGCAAGTTCTTCCTAATGCCAAGCTTCTTGAGAAGTCGTTCTACCGCCTCACTCTCCGCCATTGTACGTCGTTTGTTCGTTCCACATGAACAGGAGGAATCCGCTGCATTGGCCCATCAGTGGACTCGGAAGAAGCTGAAGGTAAACGGACACTTGCAGACGGAAATGAACGAGTTCTCGTCGCGAGACGCAGCGTACTGAACTGCGTCGGTGGAGTGCGTTGGCTTGAATTGCGCTGCTCATTCCACCGGCCTGCAATCACGAGCACATGGTCAACAAAAGATCTTGGCTTCTGCATCCTCGATGCCGTCTTTTTTCTATTTCGTAGGAACCAACAAAACGGAAGCTCTAAAAGAGTCCGGGGAAGCTAGCGTCATAATGGCGGTGATCTCAAACTCTGACCTACCTAGGCTGCGATGTCCTTCGTGGAGAAGTCTTTCCAGTCTTCCAACAGGCCCCGCCTTCTCCGTCCTCTACAGAGTTCCTGGTTGCCACACTACCTTCTTGCTCCACGATGCGTCGACCTGGATATCCTCGACCACATCTCGGGCCACCTCGTGGCTGTACTCTCCACTCGGGACTTTTCGCGCCTCGTGGCTCGTCGGAAGCTTTCCCATCGCCGTCGTTGGCATAGAGGTGAAGCGCACTTTATTCTCATCTGCCGATTATGCTCACTCGTTCACCCGTTCCCGCAGGTAGAGCGCAAATGTGCAAGATCAAGGTGACGACTGTCATTTACGAGAATATAGTAGTGTGACGGACTCCAAGAACGATTAAGCAAGCCGCCGTCAACAACAACACGAACGAACCCGAGCTAATATGTCCACTGCGAAGCGCGCACAACGGCCAGGGTATCCCAAGTACGTGTCTGCTTAGGGCAACCTATGCCGGCGACAAGAGTGCCCGTCTAGAGCGTGACGGGGACGCACCCAAGAGAGACGGCCCCTCCCTGTGCGCAGTGCGATATCATCAGCGCCGGTCCCGTGGGTGCACAGGCCTGTGAAATACTCACGACATTGTTGTTCTTGCAGCACACGGCCTGGGCGTTGCAAGAGTTTCCAGTAGCGACACCGACGACGGTAATGGGCGAGCAGGTAATCCCAACGAGGGCATCAATGCTCTGGACGTCGATGCCGAGGAGGGCGAGGAGGAGCGACGTCGCCGGGTCGTTCGCCTACCAGAAGAACAGCTTACGCGTCAGCTACGTGGTGGCGAGGAGCTCAGGAGATACGAACCTTCTGGACGCTGTTGCAGCACTGGAGGGACCCGGTCGAGCACTTGCCGGCGGCACGAGTGTCGAGGGGGGTGGCGGCCGCAAGGAGGGGCAGGGCCCCGAGGACGAAGGCGGTGAGGCGAGAGGACATCATGGCGATGAAAGTGAGTGAAGGTTGAGAGAGGAGACTCGAGTGCTGAAAGAGCGTCGACGTCGGAAGGCAAAAGAGTGATTGACCGTTGGCCTGGGGCTCCCCGCTTCACTGACCTCCTCTTTTATATTCCTAGGATGCTAGGCTCGTCCCGCGCGAGGTAGCGGACGACCCGTCTGACAGCCCAACCAGGAAGTCCACTTGGACGACGACGAAAAGAGCCGATACGACGGGGTCGTGCATTGCGCGCCCGTCCCGTGGGGTCCCGCCGTGTCAAGGATCGCTGGGACGCCCGTTGGGGGACGGCGTTCTACTTCCCGGAACGGACTTGTGCCATCCTCGTTCTGGCATCATATGCGCGCACCAGCACGGTGCGCCGCCGCGGCTATTGGCTAGTCTGCGAAGGGAACGGGCGGGGTCTTGTCGTCGGAGTCGTTCTTGGTACGTATCTTCCCTGTGCATGTCACGTCCGGACCGTATCAATTGATGATGACCATTTCGTCGAATTGTAGGTATCTCCTCTTCTCAACGCGAGGACGACTTGCCAGTTTGAAGCTAGGTCGGAGTGGGCTTCCGCCACCTTGACGCGTTCTAGCGTGCCACCTCCGCAAGCCGTTTCACTCGACTCAAATGGGAATCGTACCGCACGAGGCCTTGATGACGATGCACGTTACCGCCGCAGAACTTGGTATTCCGGACGTCCCACTATTGGCTCTCCGCCGCCCAGGATCTCGTCATTTGCAAGTGCGCCTCCGCTGCTGACGGCTCATCACACGACGGGGAGCTCTAAGTTAGTGCGGGCTGTCAGTGGCGCCGCAGATCATGCCCGTGCGCTGTCGAGTTTTGCGTTTTGAAGGCGGGACGCGCAGTCAGGGAGCGGACAGCATGGGCGGCCGGCGGGTGGCCGGTTGCGGCTGTACGCCACATCTCCGCCGTACGTTCACGGTAACGTCCGCGCGTCTGCGGCGGTAAGAAGCTTGCGGTGATTACGCCCCACACGAGCTCGCGCGCGGTTGGTGCTGCTTCGAGGTACGTACGGCGGTAGTGTGCATTGTTGGAAAGCGCCCTGACGGGGATGAAGTGCAGGTAGCATATCCGTCGCCGTTTTCGAAGCAATTCCTTTGCTCCGTTCAGCAGTGCTCCAAAGGAAGGTGGTACCATCGGGGAGAAGGGTTCGGGATGGCTTCCGCCCGATGGTCGATGGCAGAGGGAAGAGCGCGACCTGTTTTACATAAGGGAAGCACAACGAAACACGAGGCAAGCTCTCTTACCATCTGCGATGAGTCGATATAGTATCTGAACCACCGCACTGCCAGGTACTCC